AATATATATATATAATATGATATAATACTGAAAAGAGAGGGAGAGAGAGATTCTACAATGAGGTAGTTGTAAAAGTTGTGAATGATAAATGTAATGGAGGTAATGTAAAGCACAGTCAGCAGCGGAGCTGAGAGAAATGTTAAATTAACGCGAAACTTCCAATAAGAATGTTAATAACAGCATTGGCCACTAAAGATGAACAATGATGATAGAATGTCGTGAATATGTTAAGTGCAACATGTCGAGAAGATTAGGTTAATATTTAAATTTAAAAATTAAATCAACCTGATGTAAAATGTAAAATCGAAAAAAAAAAAAACCTTTCTAAACACATTTCATATGTATACTAGAGAATATAACATTTAAGAATATATCAAAATCTTATTAGCAAAATTCATAAGCAAAATGTAGAGAAATGTTTAAGAAGGAGAAATTTGTAGAGAAATTTTTCAACTCAAGCTCAAAGCTGAGTTCGAGCTGAGGGTGAAAATTATGGGATCAAAGTTTTAAGAATATGGAGAAAAATATGGAATCAAAGTTGAAGTTTTAACAAGATTTTTTAATAAAATGCAACTTTTACTGGGCACTCAAATAGTTGGGCAAACTTCACATTTTCCACTCTCATTTTCTATTTCTTTGCTTCAGCACTTGAAACTTATTTGGAGTGAAAAATGTGAGTCGCAGGCAAAAGAAAACTTGTTTAAAATGTGTTTAGATTGATTGTTGAATCTATGGAAGACAAATTCCATGAATAGCAATTGGTTTTGGGGAAATTGAATAGAAATTCCACTTAGCAAATATGTAAAGAAGAAAGTTAAGATATTCGAAGAGCCTTAAGGATGATAAAAATATATAAACATATAATATATGAATAGATTTATCAAATGTCGAAACTTCTGGCGTAAAGTAAGATAAGAGCTAAGACCAAGAATTGTTGAGGAAACAAATCGAGAGAGCAGCAAAGAAAATGGATGAATGTTAAAAATTATGAAAATGAACAAATTTATATATGAATACAAACTTTTTATAATAATCTAATTTTGCAAAAAAATGCAATGTTTCTTATTTCATTTATTTTTTTTTATATATTTTTTTTTTTTTTAGTTTGTTGTCTTTTGCAGCTCAACCAAGGTTTTGCCCTGCGTATTATCATAAATGTTGTATCTAACCTAAGCGGCATTAAGCGTAGTGTAGCTTGGCAATATTTCTAATCATATAGTTACATATATACAGTCCATACATGAGTAGAAAACAATGCAAAGTAAGAGAAACGAATGTCAAGTGGGATGAGTTCCTGGGGCAGATGGGTGAATATGTGTTTAATGGATATCTCTGTCCGAGTTGCTGGCGCATTATCACGCCACATTGGCGGCCATTGTGGATGGACGATGAGATGACAGCGGCTCCTGTTGATGCCCCTGAGTGTGGCTCCGAGCATGAGCATGAGCCTGAGTAAGTGTATGTGTATCTGTCTGTGTGTGTGCTGGATGATGGGAAATGTGATGGACCGGAAAGCTCCACAGTGCAAAAGGCATCTGCTGTTGCACCAACAATAGCAGTTGGCGTAATTTGTTGGTCGTTGTCACTCTGCTCGTCGTTGTTGTTGCAGTTGCTGTTKCTGTTGCTTTAGTTTTTGTTGCTGTTGCTGTTACTGTTGCTGCTGTTATTGTCTTTGCTGTTGTTTCTGTTGCTGCCGCATCGCACGCCGCCGCCGCTGTCGCAGCCTGCCGGGCGCAGCGCATCTGCATCTGCATCTGCAGCATCTGCAGCTCGCCGCGTCGTCATTCATCCCAGAGGCACTGCTGTTTCTGTCGCACATAATAGGTGAACTGTGTGCACTTGCGGCAGGTCTTGATGCCGCAGCGATAATTCGTTTGCTGCTGCTGCTGCGCCTGGGCGCCGGATGTGTCGCTGCCCAGACTCTTGCCCTTGCAGTACTTCAGCCCGCACGGATACCAGCCGATGCAGGTCTCCAGCGTACAGAGGCAGGGCGCCCACAGGCTGCTCACCTCGTTGCAGCGCGTGGAGAGGGCGTCCGGGAATTTTTCGGTCGCTGCCTCCAGGCTCGAAATCGAGGAGCCTAACGACGAGACGCGACACGACAACAGCAGACAAAATTGAAACAAAAAATAAGCAAAACGAAAAATTGGTTAACGGCGAAAACAAGTTCAAATTGGCAGGAGTGCTCCGTTCGGAGGTGCCCGACTAGGAGATACCCTGAACACTGAGCGGAGCTACTCTTTGAATCATTCTATGATTCCTTTATATTATAATAATAAAACATTTCTAATCAAAGCTTTTTGTCAAGCACAAGTCTGCACTAATTGAAATATTTTAAAGGCATACAAAATCCAATAATTATATCATTCAATTTGACGAGACGGCAGCAATCTTATAAACCACAAAAGCTAGGGACTTGAAATGTTATCTATATATTTCTGTAAACCCTACCCACTGCGAGTTTATTTTCGTTTTTTCAATAACTCATTTTATCGATAAATAAATACCAATATATGTTTCTTTAAAGCGTTTCTTGAATACCACAAAGATTGGAGATTCCAAATATACTAAATAGATTCTTATGATCCCTAAAGAGATGGATATACCTTCACTATAAGCATCAATGCTATCTGCTACGCCTCATTCTATCTGTTACATTGTTACATAAATTCTTACAAAAAACTATACCCCGAATTCCTCATTTTCAATGAGTGTATCTTGATATCCTAAATTCGCAACTGAAAAACAAAAAATTCTCGTTAGCAACATTTGCATGCAATTTAAAACAACTTTTCACCATGCAGGTGAAAAGTTTCCTATATACAGTAAAAGCAGACTAAAAGGGAATATTTTCCTAAATCCCATAGGTTTAAGAGGTCAGGAATATCTAAAATAGGGAATACATATTGAATTATCCTTTTGAGTAAAGGCAGCTTAAACTCTGTTTAACCACCCCGTTACACCTCAATGAATCTTCACTGTACTTTTAAATGCTACAAATTCTGTGGCTCCACTCGTGCAGAGTTAATCAAGAAATAATTGAAAACTTGCACAAGCGCGAGATTTGCTTTGCTTTTCATATTTCTGCTAATCAAATAATAATTATCTCGACTTCCGCTCACCTGGCAGCTCCGCCCACGCCTTCAGGTCCACGTCCCGCACGTAGGTGGCGTCGGTGGCCTCGGCGCACAGCGTCTGCAGGTGCCGTGTGATGGGCAGCGAGCGGTTCAGCTGGACCCAGCCGCTCATCGTGTAAGTCTCGCGACCTTTGTCCTCCTCGGGCGTGCGAATCGTGTGTGGATTCTTCTGACGCAGCTTCGCCATGGCGTCCGAGGAGATGAAGTCGCCCTTGTTGAATTTGGTGGCAAAGCACATCACCTGATACTGGCTCTGGCCGCGCTCCTCCTCGCCCAGCACCAAAGCCTTGAGGATTTGAACCTCCTGCAAATAGAGAACGTAGTTGTTGTTGTTGTCATTGTTGTCCATTTCGATTTCCATTTCCATTTTCATTTTCTCTTTCACTTCTGCTACTTACATTGCGAAAGTCGATGAGCTGCGTGATGAGAGTGCCGTCTGTCTTCTGAAACTCCAGGGTAATCAAATCCTCGCCAATATTGGACGTAATGCTCTCCTGTATCACTTCGCCACCCTGCAAGAGGAGAAGACAAAGGCGACTCAGTCAAAGAAGCAACAAGTGCAATGGCAACTAGATGTTAACTAGACTCTAGACACGAAACTAGAATATTAATAGAGCGAAAGAGAAAAGGCAAATAGAGAGTGAGAGCACAGAAGGGAAACCCAAGACATTGCTGCCAGAAGTCAAATTAACTGCAAGCCAAAGTAGCAGCAGCAGCAGCAGCAGCAGCATCTGAGCCGCGTCCCTGAACCAAATTAGAGTCAAGAGAGTTGAGCAGAAAATATAGTGAAAATGCAAGGCGAGATGAGGAATTGTTGTGAATGCGACTCTAGAGGCGGCCGCTCGTCACCAAATGTAGTTCAACAACATGACAACTAGAATAAACAACAACTAGTACAGCTACAACAACAACAGCAACAGCAACAGCTACAGCTACAATTCATACACGACAGAATCGTCCTTACAGTCGCGCACCCCAGCTAAACCAACCGAAACATTTATGTTTTCTGTTTCTAGCAAATGTCATGGCAAAGCAAAAATGATAAGCTACTATTAAATTTCTCTCTTTTTCTTCCCCTATATGAGTATTCTTGATTTTAAAAAAAAATTATATACAGTACCGAGCAAAAATGAGTGAATGTTACAGAACTTTGACTTTCATCACGCATAAAAATTAAACCATACCAGCAAATCAACAAATTTTTTTGTGTGTTTGTTTATTAGTGTATTCTTAACAAATACAAAAAAGTTGCAAGGCTAAATTAGCAAAATTAAAAAAATTAGAAATAAAAAACCGAAAAAATCCACATAAACTCAATTTTGCACGTTTAAAAAAAACTACTAAAAACTAAAAAAAACTAAACATTTTTAATATTTAGTCCAAAACCCTTATTAGCAATAATTTTGTTGACTATTTTTGGCATGCTCTCAGCCAAACTTTGAATCATTTCTTTCGGAAATTGGCTCCACTCCGCTTCTACGCGCTCCCATAAGCTGTCAATGTTCGTTGGGGNGACTAAGATAACGGTAAATCTACATGCTCAATCTACGACTAAGAAGAATACCCAAGGAGCTAAGTTATGGGGAAATCTGGATGATTTCGGCTGAGAAGAGAAGTAGAAGAGCCAAAGTATTGGCAATTATGAAACGTGCAAAATTGAGTTTATGTGGATTTTTTTGGTTTTTTATTTTTCATTAATTGAGTTTAGCTGATTTAGCGTTGCAACTTTTTCTATTTGTGAAGAACAAACTAATAAACAAGTATAAAAAACAAAATCTTAATTTGCTTGTATGGTTTAATTTTTATGCGTGATGAAAGTCAAAGTTGTGAAACATTCACTCATTTTTGCTCGGTACTGTATATGTATTTATATTAATATTTATAGTAATACTTTTATTGCTAAAAAATTAAATAAATTTAAACTAAGTACGGACTTAAGTATTAGTGTTGGCTTTATCCTTAACCTATTACAAATTCTGTCAATCTGTCAGAATTTTGCTTAAAAACGAGTTGTCAAAGCCATTTTGTTGTGAAGTAAAACTGACAAGCTAAATGTCAAATTAATATCTAATGAACTGACAATCCATTTAGAAACTTTTTAATTGTTAATTGCTATATCTTTGTCAACATTCAATATTAATTTGTTTACACTGCATCTATAAAGATAGACGCTCTTTTATTCTCATTCAACTTTATTTCTACTATATCTGACATTTACACACCGAAAATAATGCAAATAACATTCAAATTGCGAATGCCGAAAAGTTCAGCTGGGTCTGCACGTGCAYACATACATATACACATGAGGCAGAGATTGTAAGCACTGTTGTGAGTGTTTGTCTGTATGTGTGTACTGTGGTCTGTTTGTGTGTGCATTGCCTTTGTGAGTTTGAACAAAGCGAATGTAAACAAAGCTCACACTGAGAGCAGTAGCTGTAACAGCGACGTTAGCAGCGACGTCGACAGAGTCGGACATTTTGGGGCCAGGGACAGCAACAACAAAAACACGCCAGCAGCCAGCAGCCAGCAATGTTAAAGGATGTCACATATAAACAAAAAAAATAAAGCACAAGAGCGCGCTCTCTTTCATACACACACGCACACACATGTAGAGGCTCTGTTGTACGCGAGTTTTTGGCAAAGGTAATATAAAATTTATAGAAAAGCTAAAGCAAATGTCAATATTATGATGCCATGTAAGCCACGTGCAAACACAAATACTACGAAAATAAACCAAAACGAAAAGTGAAAAACTGTCAAAGCGAGCTGCGCTAATGACAGCCATATTAAATCAGAAAGAGGAAGAGAAAATAAGTTCAAGGGCAGCTGTGCGTATTTAACAAATGGGTGGGACGAGCATCGACTGTCATTAATTAGCAGTTTTAATTAGTTCATCAGACAAAAAAATAAAGCAAAAACGAAAAAAGCAAAGCGCACACAACTCGCAGCTGATGAATAAAAACAAATGTTTGCCAACGTGCTCTCGCTCTCGCTTCCTCTCTCTCCCATTGCCGTTCTCTTGTTTTGACGCGCTCAATTTCGAATTTGAGTGTTCGAAAAACAGCAGCAGCGCTAGCAGCGCAGTCAGCGCCATTTTTGACATTCACATTGCATTTAAGCAAATTAAAAAGAGACATTTAAGCAATTCAAGAGCACACATATATATCATACCTGATTTTGCACATTTATCAGCAGTTGGGCATCACTGTTGTTTGCTGTGAGCAACAAATTGCAGAGAATGAACCAGAAGAAGCCGCGGCTGTGCCTGAAGAAATGATAACAACTGACTGCACGTCTGCCGCAGCGACGACGGCCCGTTAGGCGGCAAATGTTGAGCACGTTTCGATGCGCCATCTGCCATTTCGTGGGTTTCAAATGCCGACCTCTCGATTTCTTTGACACAATCATTGCGGCTAGCACTTAACACTAAAAAACACACCCACTCACAGTCGGATTCACTTTGATTATTGTTTTCGTTGGTGCTAAATACGCGACGATTGCCTTCTCACGCCGCCGACACACGTCCGCTCACTTCCGAAGTTCGACGCAAAATAACAACAGCTCAGCCGACAATAACATAACATGAGAGTAGTTCCGAATGTGAGCGAACTAGTTAACAGTACTGTTAAAACCACTGCTTTAACATAGTGAGAGCGAATATATTTCGCTGAATTATTGGTTCTTATTGCTATTTTCGCAATTTATAGGATTGCTAAAGATGAATTTAGTTATAAAGAAATAACTCAGCGGTGCTCTTCTCATTTATATATGATTGGCCCAAACAGCTGATTCAGAAGAACTTTGTTTGTGAAGCGCTGCTTTTGATATTTATTGTGCGACCGCCACAATTTCTCAGTCAACAGCTGTTTTCATTGTAATGCACTAAATTAGTCCAAAAACGCGTTTTAAACGCTTGTGACGTGTTGTATTTTGTAAATTATGTTATTTAAACATAATTTACTTAATTAAATTATATTTTATACGTGGGCATTTATCTTTCTAAACACAAATAACATGCTGACCCTGCGAGAGCGGCAAATAAGTACGTAATTCGACTTATAAACAGAGCCAACGCACTCGTTTTCACTTTTCAGTCTTCGTTTTCACAGATGCAATTAAGCAAATGCTTAATTTAAATTCGCAGCAGCCGAAAGTCTTGGCCGCGGAGCCCGTGTGGAAGATACTCATCTACGATCGAGTGGGCCAGGACATAATATCGCCAATTATATCTATAAAGGAGCTGCGAGAACTGGGCGTGACTTTGCATGTGTGAGTAAGCGGTCTGAAATGGGTCAGGGGTCAAGGGGGCATGGCAAAATAGATGACACACTAAATGACTTATTTCACTTGCAGGCAACTTCACTCGGATCGCGACTCTATACCGGATGTGCCTGCCGTGTACTTCTGCCTGCCCACGGACGAGAATCTGGACCGGATTCAGCAGGACTTTTCCAATGGCCTCTACGACATCTATCACCTGAATTTCCTGGCGCCCATCACACGCAGTAAAATCGAGAACCTAGCTGCAGCCGCATTGCACGCCGGCTGCGTGGCCAACATCCATCGGGTCTACGATCAGTACGTGAACTTCATCAGCCTGGAGGACGACTTCTTCATACTGAAGCATCAGCAGAGCGACCAGCTCTCCTACTATGCCATCAATCGAGCCAACACGCGCGACGAGGAGATGGAGGCGCTGATGGACTCAATTGTGGACTCGCTCTTTGCGCTGTTTGTCACGCTGGGCAACGTGCCGATCATCCGGTGTCCGAGGAACAGCGCCGCCGAGATGGTCGCTCGTAAGTTGGAGAAGAAGCTGCGCGAGAATCTCTGGGATGCGCGTGCCAATCTGTTTCACATGGATGCCACCCAAGCCGGCGGCGGAGTGTTCAGCTTTCAGCGTCCCGTGCTGCTGCTGCTCGACAGGAATATGGATCTGGCCACGCCTCTGCATCACACTTGGTCATACCAGGCACTGGTGCACGATGTGCTTGATCTTGGCTTGAATTTAGTTTATGTGGAGGACGATTCGGCCGCCAGTGCGGGCAAGTACTCATCTAATCTTTGCCGGGAGCTCTTACCAATTGCTTCTCCATTTCCCTTTTAGGAGCTCGCAAGAAGCCCAAGGCCTGCGATCTGGATCGCAACGATCGCTTCTGGGTCACGCACAAGGGCAGCCCGTTCCCCACTGTGGCCGAGGCCATACAGGAGGAACTGGAGTCCTATCGCAACTCCGAGGAGGAGATCAAACGACTCAAGACCTCAATGGGCATCGAGGGCGAATCGGAGATTGCCTTCTCGCTGGTCAATGACACAACTGCGCTGCTGACGAGCGCCGTCAATTCGCTGCCGCAGCTGATGGAGAAGAAGCGTCTGATCGACATGCACACGAAGATCGCCACAGCAATTCTGAACTGCATCAAAGCGCGCCGCCTGGATTCCTATTTCGAGATCGAGGAGAAGATCATGTCGAAGCAGACGCTCGACAAGCCGCTGCTCGAGCTGTTGCGAGACAGCGAGTTTGGCCAGCCGGAGGACAAGTTGCGGCTGTACATTATCTACTATATATGCGCACAGCAGCTGCCCGAGTCGGAGGCGGAACGCCTGCGCGAAGCACTCCAAGCCGCTGGCTGTGACCTGACTGCCTTGGCGTACGTGCAGCGCTGGAAGTCCATAATGAATCGGTCGCCGAGCATTAGCCAGGCGACGCAGTACGAGGGCGGCGGCACGCGCACCGTTTCCATGTTCACCAAGCTCGTCTCGCAGGGCAGCTCCTTTGTCATGGAGGGCGTCAAGAACCTGGTGGTCAAGCGGCATGTAAGTATCTATATAAAGGAGAGAGAGAGAGAGAAGGGATTAACTAGGAGAAATATAAATACTTTGCTTTCCCGTTCAGAACTTACCTGTTACCAAGATCACGGAGCAAGTGATGGAATGTCGCAGCAATGCAGAGACCGACGACTACCTCTACTTGGATCCCAAGCTGCTGAAGGGCGGCGATGTGCTGCCCAAGAATCGCGCACCATTCCAGGACGCAGTCGTCTTCATGGTTGGCGGCGGCAATTACATCGAGTATCAGAATCTGGTCGACTTCATCAAGCAGAAGCAAACGTCCAATGTGCACAGGCGCATCATCTACGGCGCTTCCACGCTGACCAATGCGCGGCAGTTCCTCAAGGAGCTCTCGGCGCTGGGCAATGAGATACAGGCGCCGGGAACGAGTTAGGAGCGACTGCTTAGCTTTCACTGCTGCTGAGAGGAGGACTTGGACTTGGCTGTCGGTGTGTGGCTTCTTATATAAATATATATATATACTTATATTTAAGCATATCCAAAAATAAATGAAATGCAAGGCAAAAAACCAAGCTACAATAATAAAAACAAAGTGAACGTGGGCAATTACTCGAAACTTGACGCGTAATCCCCGAAGGACAACAAAAAACAAGCAAAAACATGCGTAGCACAGCGTGTTCAACAAGCTGCACCAGATGCTGGACAGTTCGACAGAGAGATCGCGGGAGAGAAAGAGATGGGGAGCTGCGCAATTGCATTCTAGGCGCCCATTAACACCAACTTGGCAACGCTTTGATGGACAGCTGACAGACAGCAGTCAGCAGCAGTCAGCGACGGCTGACGACAACAATTATGGGGCGACAACAATGCTATGCGCGACACTGCACCACTGCACCACTGCAGCACTGCAGCACTGTGGCACTGCGGCACTTCGGGGACTGAGCCCTTAGCAATTAACACCGCCGCTCGAACTATGAATGGACAGCCACAGTGCCTCCAAAACTACTTCCAACGGCAGCAACTTGAGCAAGCTTGAAAACAGTCCAAGGAAAGGCTAACTTCAGATAGTTGCATGAATAACTTTTAATCAATGGGTATATTAGAGTTAGAGGCTATATGCTACATATATAACTGTGTTAAATATCGACAAAAACTTGTTAAAAAAATATTCTAATATTGATTTTTTTACATTTTATATTTGTCTAATAATATTTTACGTTTGTGAAAAAAAAAAAATGTATCTACGTAAGAGATTTTCGACAATTACAATTAGTAATTAATTAAAATGTAATTACTAAATTATTCATTTTAGCTATATATAAATTGCTACATGAAACTAAATATTTATAGATTTATCCAATAATTAAAATATACGTTATGTTTATGAACATATTGATGTTTTTCCCTAATTGTTTATTGGATAATTGTTCTGAATTTTATTTACGAATTTTGAATGCAAATTTAAAATTAAACTATATTCCAAAAAAATTATTATTAAAAAAATATATGCTTTGCGTTCAAATTAATACGCAAGATTAGGTATATATGTATTCAAACTCTTAAAGAAATATACACACACACATATACATATACCATTGTTATGTATTCAAACTCTTAAAGAAATATATACACACACATATACATATACCATTGTTAAGCTTTGTATCATTTGCATACTTGAAATATATAATATACTGCTATATAGTAAATTAAAAATCATTTTTAGTATCTAAAATTATTTGAAATTATTTATATGTAAAGATATATTGATAAGAAATATATTAAAAAATTCTTTTCTCCAACAAAACATTTTTATTTATTTTTCTTTACATAAAATATAATTTCATTGTTCCATATTTAATATTAAAGTCAAATTTAAGAAATGAATATAGTAATTATTAAAATTAAAAAGTTTCGCCTACAATTTTCTTTATTTTATTTAACACATTCTTAATAAATTAAAGATTTGTATTTAAAAATTTAAGGAAAATACCAAAATTAAAATAAATAAACTTTTAAATAAATATTTTTCTTTGATTTTCTTCAATGAATCTGACTCAAAATATGTTAAACTATAAATAATAAATATAGATCAATTTCTTTATATTATTGCCTTCCTAAATTGAAATTTACTCACCTTATATTTTGTATTCTCCTTCAAGGATTCGACTTTTCCTCGTGTCAGCTTGAGCACATGAGCTCCCATCGTATGATTGGGCAACTGGGAAAAATAAATGGCATATGGTTTATTTTATATAGATTTATGGGCATATCTTCTAAAAGCTTAGAACAAGAGAATCAAGAGGATCGTTTTTATTGGAGTCCTCTGTAGATGTAGAGTGACATTATACATATATTTCTTTATATGGAATTTGCAGGCATTTATTAAGGATCATCGTTATGGACTTCCTCTATGGATAGAGCAATTATACAACAGTACATTTCTAAACATAGAATTTGTAAATATTTCTTTGTATATAATGTATGTATATCGCTCAAATGAATCGATAAATCTTCTTATTATGAACAATTGAAATTTATTATGCTTTGAATTCATGAAATTCAAATCCGGGAGTGTGTCTCTTAAAAGAAATTCGATTGCAACAGAAACCTATATATAGACATCACGAACCTTATTTATGACAATTCAAAAACACTAGAAAGGAGAAGAGACCAATGGCAAGTGATGCTGAAGTCCTCTTCTATTTATAGACCTTATCACATTTTGCTAACCAAGCGAAACTTCAATCAATTAGTTAATTTGAATCTTGTTAAGTCAATTCGTTTTTTATTTTTTTTTTTCTCTTATCCCCAAGAATTATTGCTTAAAGCAGAAAAGACGAATCATAAGAAAAGAAAATATTGTCGGGAATATAAATATATCAAGCCATTTTTTTTTTTTTCGTTCTCAACATTTCAGTTGGCTAATTAACACTTTACGTAAATCAGAATTGATGGCCATGTTGAAAGCGGCCCAAAAAAGAGATGACGATGATCACCATGATGATGCTAATGGTAATGCTAAAGATGATGATGATGACGATGTGGTTGATGGCGATGATAATTCATGGAGCGCTACGTTTAAATATTGGTTTTGGCTGGGTTGAGTCGATCCGAGCTGAGCTGATCTGGGTTGGGTTTTGGGTTACTGCGACGGCGGCGGCGGTGGCTACCCGTGGCTACAATTTAAATGTTAACATAAACAAGAGCAATTTAACAAAAGCAACGGCCCCAAATCCCAAACAGAAGATGAAAAAAAAAAAAAAAACTGATTTCACGGGTGGTCCAAAAAGATGCGCTCAAACAAATCATAAAATCGTATAAAGCAAAAAAAAAAATAAAAAAAAAAGTATATAAAAAAAGTCTACAGAAACTAACAACGCAACATGAAAGAAGAAATGCTACTCGTACCAGCCATGAATCGATTATGTGGCCACTGTATGTATATATCTCACTATATACATATGTATAGATATTTGTATGTGTGTGTGTGTGTAAATATTGTTGAAGCAGCACAGCGCGAAGGTAGCTGAAAAATGGTCAGAGCCAAACGATTCCCACATTCCTGCTGCGAAACATAATGGCCGCCGCCTGTCGTCGTCTTCAGTAAGCCACACACACACACACACACACACACACACAAGCACAAGTGTGTATATATGTATATATGGGGAGTCTTACATATGTACGTACATATATCATAATCTTAACAACTCTTAACAAGGCTGAACAAATTCCAAAATTCGAAGAGCCTCGTCAGCGAGCCCCCAACAACAACAACAACAACAACATGAACAAAAAGCACAGCCAGTCAGACGTCCAGCAACAGAAGAACGGCAAACGCCACAAAGACTACAAAATGAAGTGGATGCACACACACACACACACACGCACACACACGCAGCTGAAGTGAGAGGCGCATGAATGGAGTCCAAGTGCAGCAGCCATAAACCTTTTAGCTCTTTGGCTCAAACTTTTGACTCTTGAGTTCGATTTTGGAGTCGGGCGCAGATTGTCGAACTGCTCGAAGAGAAGAACTTGAGCATAGCTCTAAAGAAGCTTATATAATATTAAAAGTTTAATGCAATATAATTACTATTTTATTTTATAATACATATATTGCTATTGATCATATTACTATATTAATAAAGTTAACAGTAAGGTCAATAATTTAATTATATTCGAATAGTCATATTTCATGTGATTCATGTAATTTATTCAATTTCTTGGAAATTTTTTTATTATTTTTAATTGTCCCCATATAATGAGTGATAAAAATAATTTTGGATTGGAAATTAAATTACTTTTTTTTATTTATTTTATTAACATACGCTTCATTAATAAACCGTTATTGATGTACATATTATAAGTTTAGTAATATACATATTTTTATTTTCAAATAATAATATTTCATTTAATTTCTTTTTAAAAAAATTATCAAAATATTTTATTTTATTTATTTTTGAGAGAATTATTAGAGTGAATGTGGAGTTCATTGCATTCCTAGCTATATAGCACTCAACAACAAAAATAAAATAAAAAAAAAAAAAAAAAAAAAAAAAAAAAAAAAAAAAAAAATTTTTTAAATATGGCTTAATAAAATATTAATTTCTGAAGTTGTCATATATTTCTTAATAATTTAAAATAATAAGGAAAAAGGCCTCATATGTTGCGCTCAAACTTACCAATAAAGGAAAAACTGCAAGTATTATGCACAAAATTTAAAATACATGCGATATAAAAGCTTAAAAAATAATTGAAACAAATAAAATATTGAAATGAATTTATAGTTTGTAATTTTAAGTTAAGAAAAAAAAAAAAATAGTAATAATATTTTTAATCTAGCCAAAATATGTATATATAGACAGCTTGGCTTCTAGGTCAGTTGCTGCTAATAAATGCTGCTCAAACTGTTTTGACTCTCAAACTGTCGCGCTGAGACATCATCGAGCTGTGAATCATTCACATACTATTTGCTGTTGCTGTTGTCGATGTTGTTGTTGTTGTTGTTGTTGTTGTTGACTTTTGTGTGTTATCCTTGTCAGCATTTAGTTGTTAGCTGGATCCGCTGCTGCTGCTGCTGCTGCTGCTGCTGCCGTTTGGCTCGTTGCCACCTTTGGTGGTCCGCTGTGGCATGTTAATTAATCAAACAAATAATAACAGAGACGTCCAAACGAGCCGAAACGGAGAAAAGAAAAACTAAAGCAGGCCAAATATTTGCCGGCTGAAGACTCAAAGAACTGTCAGCAGGAGCTGGAAGGAGCTGCGGCGGCTGCTGCTGCTGCTGTTGCTGCTGTGGCCTGTTTGCCTTTGTTAGCGGCTTGTTAGCAACAACAACAACAACAACAATATGTACATATATCTTCTCTCTATATATATACAAATTGAAAAGATGATGCTTCATGGCTTTTGGCCATTTCCTGAAATCATAAAAAAAAAACAAACGAAAAAGAAGAAGATGAAGAAGCAGAAGAAGAAGATGAAGCACACACACATAGCCGCAACGCGTTGCGTGACG